AGAGCAGGAGTTGGCGGATGCCAGCCCCCGGCAAGTCACTGCTCTGCCTCTTCCTTCCCTTCCCCTCCCAGGTGTGTTTACACAGCAAGTTTTGTACCTTCAAAGGGGTTTTGCCTTCTTATTTCAAGCCTCCTGGTTTCAGCCTGATGGAGAGGCCCTGGGGACAGAGGCATGCTCCCAGGAAAGGGAGACCCCGGCAGCCCTCTTCCCTCACCCAGCCCCGATCCCTGCTTTACTCACACAGCACACAACACACCACCAGACCACTCAAATCCTGGAAGGGAGCAAGGGCACAAAATACATTCCACTGCCTGAAACCACCACGGCAAAACCAGCAAGAGCATGATGCAGCCACCCCCGTCCCCACCCCAGCCTTCTGCACTCCCCCAGCAGCCTTCAGCAGAGGTGAGAGGGTGCAGTGCTTTGCTTAACAGCCCGGTACTGCTGGGCCAATGTTTGCCAGAGTCCATGGGAAGTCTGTGAGCAAGGATGCACAGGGCTGCTTCTCTCTCCCCGGCCTCGTCAACCCTCCCCGCAGCTCTCAAAGTACTGGCACATCAGCTCGCGCACTTGCTCGGCCCGGCTGTCCTCCATGGCGGCCGGCGCAGGGCGGCAAGGGCTGGGGGGCGTCGGGGTTTGGCCCCCCCGGGCGCCCGGCCCCCCCCCAGCCACTCCTCGTTGAAGGGGTTGTCATGGGCTTCGCAGACGTTGTGCAGGATACAGCAGGCAAGGACAAGGGTGGGCAGCAGCTCGAGGCTGCAGTCGTCACACTTCAGGAGGATCTGCCAGCGTGCCTTCAGGCGCAGGAAGGCGTTCTCGATCACGCTGTGTGCCCGCTTCAGGCGGTAGTTGAACTGCAGCTGCCGCCGGGTGAGCTTCTCGTCCTCCTGGTAGGGCTTGAGGATCCAGTCTTGCAAGGGGTAGGTCGCATCGCCCAGCAGCACGTACTTCTGCGCCTTCCCCATGAAGTGTTTGGGAGGGTTGGGGCACAGCCGGCCCTCCTTGGCCAGCACCCAGAGGCTGGAGGTCTCAAGGACCGCGCTGTTCTCCATGCTGCCAGGGAAGGCGGTGGAGACGTCCCAGAACTGGCCCAGCCCATCCACAGTGGCCTGCGTGAGGATGGAGTGCCAGCCCTGGCCGTTGCAGTAGTCGGCGCTGAGGCGCAGGGGCGGGTGGATGGGAATGTGAAGGCTGTCCAGGGCGCCGATGCAGTGCGGGAAGCCCCAGCGGGTGCAGAAGATGCGTGCCATGTTCTCCAGCTCCTTCTCGTTGGGCACCCGGAGGTAGAGGGGCTTGAGCAGCAAGACGACGGCGTAGCTCACCTCCCGGATGCACGCCTGCACTGTGGAGGGCCCCACACCGAAGAGCGGGCTGAGAGTCTGGTACTCCACGTTGGTGGCCAAGTGCCACAGGGCCACGGCCACCCTCTTCTCCAGGGGCAGGGTGGGGTGGAAGTGGGCGCTGTGCGGAGCCAGCCCAGGCCGCAGCTGGTTGCAGATGTAGAAGAAGGTCTCCTTGGACATCCGAAACTTCTCCAGCCAGTCCCGGGGCCCAAACTCCTTCAGGACCACCCGTTCCCACCAGTCCGCGTTCCTGATGCCGGGCCAGGCACGGGGGTAGAAGTAGCAGCTGGATCTCCTCCGGCGAGCGATGAGGAGCTGCAGCACAGCGGGGAGATGAGAGGGGCGTGAGACAGCGCTTCCCCGGCCCCCACCCTGCGCTTCACTGGGACCCCCCTTCTGAACACCATCCAGCTCAAGCAAGTTGCTGAAGGCAGGGAGGTCATCCAGTGCCATGCGGCTGGTGGTCCTGACCAAACTACCACCAGGTCAAATTTTCCTGCTGCTGGGAAACCCCATTGCAAACCCACCAGGCAATAGTTGTGACCCTGGGCAAGATGCCCAGAAGAGGAGCCTTCTGGAAAAGTCCCCTTTCAGGGCAGCCACTTACTCTGGGGTTTTATTTTTTAACAAGTATCACTTGCTTTCCTGCCGCTGGGTGAACTGTGGGCTCAGACATGATTCGGATGGGGGAGTGAGCACCTGCACTCCCAGCCCCTCCACGAGAATTGCTTTTCTGTTATTAAATTCTAAAAAAATCTTTAGCTGAAAAGAGGCTTTTTCTACCTTCCTCAGCAACTGCCCACGGATGTGGGCTCCCTGTCGTCCCCCTCAACAGCTTGTCCTCGCTGCCACATGTCCCCAGGCCCTTTTGTATCCCTCATCCTTTATGTCCCCCACCTTTGACGTCACCCCCTCCTTCATATCCCCATGTCCTCTGCGTCCCCTGTCCTTTGTGTCTGGGTTCACATCCTGAGTCCTTTAAGTCCCTTGTCCTTCGTGTCCCCCCATCCTTTGTGCCCCTGTCTTCGTGTCCCACGTGTCCCCCACGTTCCCCACCCTTTGTAACCTCCGTGTCCCACATCCTTTCCGTTCCTGTGTTCCCACATGTCCCCACGTTCGCCACCCTTTGTGTCCCTGTGACCTGTGTCCCCATGCTGCCCTTTGTGTGCCCCCGCCGCACCCCCATCATTCCCATCCCTGCCCTTTGTGTCCTGCACACCCCTCTTTGCGCCATCTTTTGTGTCCCCATGACCTGGGTACCCTCCCTGTCCTCCCTATCCGTGCGTTTCATGTCCCACATGTCCCCTACGTCCCCCATCCTT